AATCTCGTTTTTTTTTATTCAGATATCAAATTGAACATTAAAAAAAATTCAAATTACCACAATAAAAATTGTTTTTTACTAATGCAATTAAAGTCTATTTAATAGAAAAAAATTAATTGATGCAATTGGTTAGATGGAAAAATCTTGAACATGATATTTAATATTTAATTTTTATTGCATCAATTATTTTTTTCTATTAAATTGATTTTTTTTGCATTAGTAAAAAACAATTTTTATTGTGGTAATTTGGATTTTTTTTAAAATGTTCAATTTAATATCTGAATTTAAAAAAAATGAGATTTGAAATGAAAAATAGATTTTATTGCATTAATTTTTGGAAAAAAACGAATTTTAGTTATTTTTCTATAATTATTTTGCAAGTTGGTTCCCCAAAATAGAAATCAGGTGCAAGTTGGTTCCCCAAAATAACGATTTTGAAAAGTGGTTCACCAAAATAGGAATCAAGTGTAAGTTGGTTCACCAAAATGACGATTTTGAAAGTTGGTTTCCCAAAATAAGAATTAAGTGAAAGTTGGTTCCATTTTGGTGCAATTTTCCCTTTTATTATAAGTTTCAAGGTTATAAAGTGCGTTTGGTACGTGGGAGTGAACGAAGTATTACAAAAACTAATCGTCCCATTTTTTTAATGCAAAATTAGATTCCAAAATATGTGGTTCACAGAGATAGAGTAAATTGGTAAATTCCTAAACTTACGATGTAAAATTAAAATCCTAAACCTTTGACAATTCTTTTTAGCCGTTCCTTCCTTTTTGGACTATTTGATATACATGTACCAAAACTATATATTGATTGGATGAATAATAAGTAAAATTTTATATCATATATTACATTAAAAATTTTACAAATTACAATAATAAGAACATCTTAAAATAACAAAAGTAATATATAAAATCCACTTAAATAAAATAATTCTCCTGACATTATTTCATAGCTGGAATCGGGAATCGCCCAATCGACTAAAAAGTTACAGATTAAACATTAAAATTAAGCTAAAACATGCATAATTCGACCATTTTTTAGGGCCATATTATATATCTCACATTAGAACACTATCTCGCATGACCATGCTCCTATATATTACCGTCATTAAACCCACTTCAGATATGAAAAGCAACCCATCTTCACGTTGTTACACGATAATACCTAACCCAACAGATAAAATTTCCATCAACAGTGTTTAGTTTTACCTGTTTCTTAAACAGGTCTTAAATTTTTTAAATGAATTTAAAAAGATTTAAAAAATAAAATATTCTATTTTTGAAGATAGTGTTACTAAAAAAAGCATCTTGTTTTCTTGTTAATTATAATTTCAATTTGGATATCTACGAGATCCTTATCAACAAAAGTCGATCTTTCTTTTTGCCGAAACAATTAAATAAATATATATATATATATATATATATATATATATATAT